CCGGCAAGGTGGCGGACGCATTTAACGCGGTGGGAGTGGAGGAGAGGGGGGAGGGTGGACGATTAAAATTTCAATTCGTTTTCCGTGCGAACTGACTCAGCCTTTCTATTCCATTCCTTCTTCAACGCCACCCGCGTTCTTCTCATCCAGCGGACATTCGGGCCCGCGCCGCCAAATGACAGCCCCCGACGTCTCGCGGAGGAGAACCACTTTGTTATAATTTCCTTTAATGATGGAACCCCAGTGGTCGACCCTCATCCCCCTTTGCCGAGCTCGCGGAATATTTTTTATTACTGTCCGCGATCTCTGACGACTAGACGGGCCTCCAAGTTTTTTCGCGAGATTGGGGCCACGGAAATGTGGCTTACGAAGGCTTCTGTCATGCGTCGAAAAAAATTGTAAAGAAAATTCTTTTCACCGAAAGTTTTATTTTTTTTGTATTATTTTTCTAACTAGAAAAGATCATATTAAATTGTAATAAGATTTCTGTTGAAAGACAATGATATTGTAAATGCAACAGATAACTGTTTAGAGATCAACCAATAATTCGTCTGTCATTATAAATTTTCTTCTTTGCAATAAATATAAAAGACAAAACTATAGTGTAATATAAATTCTAATTAGTAATTTAGAAATTATAACTGTAGACTATCTGCAGACTTTTCTCCAATTCGATATTATTGCCATAAGCTTTCAATTTTTTATCTAGAATGTCTTAATAAAAAAGCTTGAAATTTTATAAAATAGATTAGAAATAAATTAACTTACGATCGTTGAAGCATCTCAAATCCTTGATTTTTTTCATTTAAATTAAACTGTTTTATTATCTCTTCTTTATCACATGTTTATTGATTTGCGAGCAAAGCCATTGTTTTTCATATATGTAAGAAAAATACTCAAAAGAGAGAAAACAATTTCATTATACGACAATAAGAAGGATAGAGAAGGAAAAGAAAGAGTCTACGTGCGACGAAGGTGTTGTCGCACGTGTTACGAGAAGTTCTGCGCTGTAGGACTTCGTGACATGGACTGCAGAGGTTTGGGGACCAGGATAAGACTTAATAAAATGGGGCGCAAACGCTACGCCAGCGAATATCTAGCTGATAGTGGTTCGGTCAGCTCAGCGTCCACATCGAAAATGCCGAGTGGAGGTTGAGGGGTGGCGAGGAACTGCCAAAGCGAAATTCGTGGAAGGGTGGCTGTGCTTAGGTCGATTCAATTTACCATCACCCTCCGAACTGGTTGATGACCTTTTCGACGTATCTTAACGTGTCAGTGGATAAAAATAGTAAAATCAAAAGAATAAAGAAAATTGCAAACGATTCGAAAAACAAGTATTTCTTAATTAGAACTTACGGAACTATTAAAGAAAGTAATATTTACTTAAAATGACAGAATTCTCGTGCTTTTGTCTTGATTATGAGACTTTTTATTTACTTAATATCAATTGTTTCTTAATGAAAATATTTAACAAATATGGCGAAAATATTAAGAACTTTCTGTAATATTTTAATTATAGAATATTAAATCTCTTTTTTTTAAATTATTAATAAATACCAATAAAATAAATAAAACATATAATTATAAAATGCGATACGTATAACTGTGGATGCAGTTAAAATATAAAAATTAATTATTTCTTTATAAATTAATATAATATATAATGCAATCAGAAAGATAACGGAAAACCAGACAGTTGTTCCGCCTTCTTGTTCATTGCGAAATTCTCGAATTCAGCTGAACGTAGGTATATATATCGCATACATTTGAAGCAAAAAGGTTAATCGCTCCACGCTACCTGATTCTTAATGCTGATCATTTAAAGGTACCAGTCAGATGACACTCATTCGTTTCGACACCATGTGCTCTGCATCGCCCACATGCAGCAAGGTTCTCTCCCCTTACATCAGGCCGTCGTGCAATGCAATAAATATATTCATAGTTGAAGTAAAGGGTTAAACGCGCGTGGTGGTGGATACAGTTAGATTAGGGCAGAGACGAAGGGTAAGAGGAATAGAAGATCGTGTCACATTCCATAGGCAAAATGCACAGGCCGAGGAGAACTATGTTCGCGTGTGAAAAAAAGATGTCACAAAAAATGCAAGGTTACTCACATTTTTTTTTATTCAATTGAATTACTTTGCGGAGCTAGATGGAGGAAGAGGGGAGAGAAAGAGAGAGAGAGAGAGAGAGAGAGAGAGAGAGGCAAAGGACGAAAAAGAGTTTCGTTATCGCTGGATAATTCCCTCTCACTTTTTACGCAAGCAACGAAGGGTTCGTGGCTCGGGGATTAATAAAAAGTTAGGCAAACTGTCGAGAGTTACGCTTATCATTCGGTGGAATTAGGTAATCTTCAAATCATTCGAAAAGATTCTTTGACAAAGAAACGCGAAGTCATGGACTGGTTTGCGTGATGATCTAAACACGTTAAAGTGCTTACGAGGATTTTTCTTTGCAGGATTCCTTCATACATCAAAGTACTATTCTCAAAGTCAAAAAAGTAACGAGAGTTAATTAAAATTTTATGTAGACTCTCTCTTCTCGGTAATAAATTAATAAAATATTTGAAAATTCATTAATATCAATTTATATGTCAAATTTATATGTCAAAAATTAATATTTTTAAAAAATATGATGGATGCTCATATGATATGTGTAAAGATACGTTGCTCGAAAAAATCGGCGCGTATCTGATTTGAAAGATCCATCTCTAGAATCTCGCTGTATAAAGTTGGTGAATAAGGACGAAAGACCGGCCGGCGCGGCCGATACGCGGGCGTGCAGACGAGCAAGGATTCCCGTGCCATGCGCACACGTCCGTCCATCGTGTTCTCTCTCCGAAGACGCGCCGCGTCGCGTCGTAGAAGAGAGAGGAAGTACGTAACGGCGAGCGTCGTAATTGAAAGAGGACACATTTAAGTCTGACAAAGATGGGACTAACGGAGAGAGACAAAACGCGCAGCATCTCCTGTAGGATTCGTCGTTTGTCGAGAGTGAGTGAGAAGAACGAGTAAAGCAAGAGGAAGAGAATAGCCAAATACTTGTTAGAAGGAAAGGAGAGGGAGGACGAAAGCCAGGAGGGGTAAGGAGCTCTCAAATTTGGTTGGCTGTCGCTTTCCACCGTTTTGTCGTGCGTGCCTATCCCTCTTCAGGCGAGAATCGGAGAAGATCGACTGTAGTCGAAGGTAGTGTAGTAGTGGGGTTGGTACACCGAGGAGGGACAGGAGTAAGCAAGCAAAAGAGAAGAAGGCAGGAGAGAGACAGATTCGTGTTTCGGCCAAGTATTTGGACGAGACAGGAGGGAGAAGTTTAAGCGAGAGGAAGAGAGAGAAACTGAGAAAGAGCGAGAGAAGAATATAACGGAGAAAGCAAGAAGGATAAGAGTTCTTCCAATGAAGGGAGCGTGATGGAACGATGAAGCCTTCATGAGAGAAAGAGAAAGTTTTATAACGTTAAAGGGAGAAAAACATGATTCGCTGATGTGTTGGAGAAAGGAGAAAGACGTTCGAGAGAATGATAGAGCGAGTGGGAGAGAGATGATTAGAGAACGAGGGGAAACGTGTGGAAGTCTGAGAGAGAAAGGTAGAATTCGAAGAGTCGGCAAGTGACGACGAGAGGGGGTGGCGAGTATTGGCGAAGGAAGCAGTGTGGGGCGGAACACGGGCGAGGGAGGGATGAGGGGAGGAGAATGGTGCCTTGGCGCGAGGTCTCGAAACTACAGAATTTCAACGACAGAACAGACTAGTGCCGGCGTTCGTACGACACGGTTCTACGATAGTAGTGAGCAAGTGTAAATCCGAGAAGAGTGAGAGAAAGAGAAGAAGAGAAAAGGAGAAGAAAAAAAGAGATGTGGGAAAGTGGGGGAGACCGAACGGAGGGGTGACGGCAAGGTTGAGGTGGTTGCGTCTCATTGTGTTTGCGGCTTCACTTCTGTCGTTCTCGCAGTATACCTGTATACCGGAATACGTAACGTCAGGTGATCACTTTTCAGACACCCACGATCAATTGTGAACAGAGAAACTCTGAGTAAACTACTACATACGAGAAGTAGACATTGCGGATTGTAATAAACAAAGTGTAAAGTGAACCGCGCTCGTGACAGTTTTTAAAATAAAGATCGTCGGGAATTTAAAACTTGTTTTGGAAATTCAAATTCTTCTTTCGGAACACTGTGTGACACCGTCTCATCAAACGAAGGCGACCTTGCTCCGAATCGAAAAATGCAGATACAAAGGCTACTGGCGTGCCACTCGATATGTAAATCATGAGCGATACGCGCGTTCGCTTTTATTTTGTTTTGTTCGTTCGGCCGCCGAGGTAACCGGCATCATTCGAATCTCGTTATCGAAAGCCGCGTCCCGGCATCAAGGTGGAATTTAGCAAGTGGTACCGTCTCGCTGTCGTCGACGTCGTCGTCGACACGTCGTCTAGTCGAGGCCGACAATGCCGCATGCGGTGATCGCGATTTTTCGAGCGACATTGAGATGGAAATTCGCGTTTAGAGTCAGTGCAGTCATATGATAAATGTAGAACACGCTGTATCCCCCGGTTTTTTTTGTTTTCTATTTCCTTCTCTTTTTTTTGTTTGAAAAGCCTCTCCCCCATCTATCCCTACCCTATCGCTGCCGGCTCAACTGTCAGTCAAAGGCGTGTTGTTTCGCTTCTACTGAGATTGAATCCGTACATGTGACACTCAACAGTGCCGCTTCGCGTTATTTCCGTCATCATCGTGCTCATATATTTCATGTGATTCTATCGCGTTCTATACGAGGCGCAATTCAGGAGGTGGCAAGGTGAAACAATCGAAAACAGAAAGAAAGGGAAAGGAAGATTATCTTATTTGCGCGCGCGCATAAAGGCGCATGTCAGGTACTCATGTATATTTCGTTCAGTTTCATTCTGTTCGCGTTGTGCATAAACTACTGTTTGATCGTGTGTATCACGAGTAAACGACGATTGAAGTGCGTGACTTGACGGTCGAAACGAAGGGAGAGGACAATATGAGTGAGATGACGAGTGCCGTTGAGACGCAGCAACAACAGCAACAATACGTAGACGGTAGTTCGAATGCGAAGCTTCACTGCAAGGATTGCGGTGTAAAATTCGAGAGCGAGAAGAGCCTGGAGGTGCATCTGCGTTATCAACACGAAAATTTGCTAAATCAGTGGGCTAATAAGACACAGCAGGAAGAGAGCAATAATAACCATAGCAAGACTGGTAATCATAATAGTCACGTGAGCCGGGACAACGTGCCGGCGGACACGAGTGAAGCATCATCGATGTCGCCCTCTCAAGATTCAACATCCTCGCAACAAATACAGCAGCAGCAACAATCACAACAATCTCACACACAACAACAGTCTGCTGTACTTATATGTTCGCCATACGATCATCACTTTCGAACTCCAATGTATAGCGAGGGCAGCTACTTCATGCAGAACGATCAGACTTTCATCTTGTCTCATCACTTTTCGCCATCACAGGAAGACAGCCAGAATAACGGCAGTCGCGATGGTGGTTTTCGCTATCATCCGTATCAACATCAACAATTGTATCCCTCAGATCGCACGACTTCTAACTCTACTAGCCCGCAAAGCCCGCCTTTTCAATGCGACAAGTGCGGCGCCGTGTATGAGGACACGAATCAATTAGGTGAGCATATGAGAACGAATCATTTGGACTCGCCTACCGCGTATCCATCCGCGCCTCAGTATCAGCAACTGGGCAATAGTCCTCAGCAACAGGGCCAGCAGATGCATCCGTCGCCGCCTCTCTCGAATCAACCGCAACAATCTAGTTACGATTATAACGGAGTACAGACGATCAAGGCCGAAATGAAGCAGGAACAGCCTGAAGAGCAAGCTGAGATCCTTGATTTGGATTCTCATAAGGTGCATCGATACGAAGAGGAGATTATGAGATTGCAGCAGCAGCAGCAGCAGCAACAGCAGCAACAACAGCAGCAGCAGCAGCAACAACAGCAACAACAAGGACTTCAGATGCAGATGCATCATCAACAGGTGATGCAACAACAGCAGTCACAGAGAATAGAATCGCTTTCGGTAAGTTCTATGTTGAACTGGCAAACTATGACTCATGATTATGCTGGACACCCGTCAATGGGTTCCATAAACAATGTTCCACCTATCGCTGATCAGGATCAATACATGCGCGGTCAACATATGCCTGTGGAACACGGGCCTCAAGGTTCATCGATACTCACAAGCACGCAACCAATACCGAGCCATCAGATATCGGCTGGATTCGTGCAGCAAACACCGAAAGCGCCACCATTGGCGAATCAATCTTGGAAAAGCAACGAGCCACGCCGTCCAAAGACATACAATTGCACTGCGTGCAACAAGTGGTTTACAAGTTCAGGGCATCTGAAGAGACATTATAACACTACGCTCCACAAGAATGCTGTAAAGAATGGAAAGGATCCTGATCCAGCAACTCTACCGCTCACCAGTCATCATCATCCCAATAGAGATAATAGCGCTGGTCATTCAACAAGCGGTAGGGGTGGTTGCGCTCCCGCGCGATCTCCACCGGACTCTTCGCGGAGTCCCCCAAACTTGATGGCAGGTCCCTCGGGCGAGGCGACGGGGGGCCTGCTTCACACGCCCACCACGCTCTGCAACAACAATTCCAGCAGCAACAGCAGCAGCGAATCTTTAGCGGTCCTGGTGCAGCAGCAGCAGCAGCAGCAGCCGCAACTGATCCCTCTAGGAATAATCAATTCCCCGGTGTCATCGCCACTGGCGGGACACCATCAGCAACAAATGGGTACTGCGCCTCACCAAATGGGCCTCCAGCAACAGCAGCAACTTCACCTGCCAACGGGTTCGTCGGGCCAGCCGGTGCATCATTCCACGACTTCGCCCACCATGGCCCCACCGGCGGCATCGCACATGAATTGCCCTTCACCAATGGATTCATCATCCCACCCGGTTCATCACATGAACTCGCCGCCCGGCTCGGGCCATCCAGCAATGAATTCATCCACGGTGATGGGGGGTACTACGATGCCTCCTCAGCCGTACCCAAACGCCTTGCCCCCCCACGTTACAATTACTACCAACATCCCGGCGGTCCCACTGGAATCTACCCAAGCACCTACCACCATGCAGCTAGTTACTATTGGTAACGACCAAAACAAGCAGCCACGACGTCGCTTGTTGCCCGGTTTCAATACCATCATGAATTTCTCAGAATTCGAATTTGTCGTAGATCAAAGCCAGACACAGACCGTTAACGTGGGGGGGCTAAATGTAGAGGAGATCACTCCTCAAGAGTCCTTTGAAGCTTCAACATCGACCTATGATCCATTTTCGCCAATGCGTTACAAGTCGTTGAATAATCTAGACATGACGATGTTGCAAACAAATGGAAACAATATGGTGCAGCAAAATCAAGATATAGAAATTACGTTGTTGAGATATGAATTCGATCGAAAAATTGATATACAGAATAACAATCATCTAATGCCGGTAAGCCAAGCAAAGGAGGATTTGGATCCAAATATCGGCTTGCAGCCAAAGAAAGAGCGTAAAAGCAAAAGTAATACGAACAAGCAAACTGTCACCACTATCAGTGCTAATTATATCTCGCAAGACGGCGTCTACAAGTGTCTCGATTGCAATAAAAATTTCAACAAGCCCTGCTATTTGACGCAGCACAACAAGAGCTTTCATTCGGGCATTAGACCGTTTAAATGCACCCTGTGCGGCAAACGGTTTTCAAACGAAGAGAGGAACAAAAAGCATTTGGAAATGCACGCTTTAGCCAGAAAACACCAATGCATCACGTGCCCAAAAGTGTTCGCACATAAAACTGATCTTAAACGGCACACCTGTATCCACACTGGTACAAGACCGTTTAAATGTGATACTTGCGGCAAGGGATTCATCAGACAAGACCATATGAGGAAACATCAGGAAACACATAACAAAAAAACGCGGATAAACAACCAACGGCAATCCGCTCAGCGACTCAATAATTCACGATTCAATGCTCAACGAGGCAACGCTCAACGGCCCAACAATGTTCAACGGGTCAACGTTCAACGGTTGCAATTCAATAGCAACTGCATGGAGTTATAAAGACATGTCCTTGCGATGTCTACGATCGATTGGATGCGCAGCCTCGAGATCATCCTAATAACAAAACGCGAGGTAAGATTTCTTGCCGGCCAAAGGACATCGTCTTTTTATCCATGACAGTTTCGCAATTTTTATTTTTTCTGTAATTTTTTAATTGAAGATTCGATCATATAATAATCGCTAAATTAATTAATGATTATTTTTACGCTTATTGTAATTTATGATAAACTAGTATAATGATAATCTCAGTAAAATAAGATTCGATGATTATCATCGGGAATAAATTTTCTTCATTATACATGTGTCCTGCGAGAACAAAAACTTTTCTTTTTTTTTCGGACAGTTCCGATACATAACGTTAAATGCTTAATGTCTATTTGAGTTGAAGAAGCTCAATATTCTCTAAGCCAAAATAATTTGATGGAAAGATTAAACCGAAACTGATTTTACACACATAATATAAAAAGAATGAATCATTATGTATGATATTTTCATAATAATAGAACAAGTATCATTACGATATTAAGAATTGATTTCGACAAAATGGCGTGAAATTTTTTTCTATTGTTTTTGTCACATTAATTATTTGATTCAATTGACTTTAATTCAATAATGTTTCCAATGTTTCTGATGACGATCTCGAAAGAATTAGAAATGTCATATAAGTGATTGGGAAATTAAAATAGACACGATATTGAACTTACAAACTGTACAAAGTATATTGAAAAAAATATAAGTGTATATTATTATTATATTATAATTATTGATAATAGTATGAAATAAAAAAAGGTTGTTTAATATGAAATTACAATCGTAAGAGAAAGGCCAATAAATGTACTTGTTTTATACTTTTTTATACTTTTGGTATTAAAGTTACTATTTAATAATTATGCATTTACAACCATATTTTATTTTGTACTTTATCAGCATAAATTTCTACAGTTATTAAAATTTACTTTTACTAATTATGTACAAATTTGTCATTATGCACATATTTTCATATTTTTTTTTGTAAATGTGATATATACATATTCATACATTTCTACAGTATATGAATATGTATATATACGTATTCATTTCAGAATGCATGCAACATGTTATGGATAGAAACGTAATAATTTTTTAAACAATATTAATAATTATAACTACATTATAATCATATTATAATTATTAATATTATTATTATTTATATTAACATAATTTGTAAAGATAAAATTGATATAAATCAATATCAGAATAATAAAACCCTTACTGTTCTTTGATTGAAAGAAAACATAAAAATCTTTTTATCAGAAATAGAAACATTTAGTATAATTGGCATAAAAATCTTATCGATGAGCAGAAATTTATTCCTGCTTTTTTAAAAATATTTTTTATTCTATTTAATTG